AGTCCTGGCTCTGTAGCCCTTTGCCTTGGGCTCACAGCTTGGAGAGGTGCCCTGCTGCGCCTGGACCTTGCCTGCCACAGCCAGCCCAGGCTCTGGGCAGCAGCTGCCTGGCAAGGAACCCTCCCAGCCACCTGCTGCAAGGCCGGTGGTGCCTGCCCAGAGCCCAGGTCAGCTCTGACATGCTGAGCAAAATGGCCTTGCGTGCTGTGCTCTGCAAGACATGGCTGGGGTTGCTAACCACTGTTTTAGGCTTTTACTCGTTATAAAATATGGAATGACCGAATTTGGGACTCGGCTATGTCTTTCTTAAAACAATCTCATCAATTTCATGATACTCTTCTGTACCTACTCGGTATTTTCTTGTTATCTATTAAAATATTAAATGTGTTTTTCTTTTGTGTGGTGTTTTTGTTTTTTGTTTGTTTTAATTCTTAAAGATGAAGAGAGGTCTCATTAGCACCCCTCCTTCAGACATGCTGCCAACAGCAGAAGGTGGCAAGTCAAATGCTTGGTTACGACAGAAGAATGCTGGAATATATGTGAAGCCAAGACTGTTTTCACCATATGTGGAGGAGGCAAAGGTAATGAGTCATTAATAATGCTTGGTCATTGCTAAACTGATGTCAGTGGGATTCAGAAAAAAGAAGGTTTTCACTTTGTATGTATTGGACTAAAATACTAAAGGTTTCAATTTAAAACAGCTTATAAGATTCATCGTCAGACTCCAGTCCCTAGAACCGGTCAGAAAAATTTCAAGAAAGCTTTCTCAAAAATGAGATGAGGTTGATCTTAGTTAAAATTGTAGAACCACAGCAGAGTTCTGTTTCTGAAGGAAATTGGGCAGGTTTCCAGCCAGTTTCCCAACCCAGTTCCTACCTTCTAGGTCTTCTGGGCTCGTTAGTTCCTGTGGGGAACAAGAATTCTGAGGGTTTGAAATTTGTTTTTATTAGAACCTGAATGACAGCATATCTCCAAAGCCACAACAAAATAGGATTATTATAGTTCTTCTGTCAAGATTTCAAATTCCTTTTGCTCCTTTCCATCAGTACTGCCTCCCTGTAATTCTCACATTATAAAGCAACAACATTTAAAGTACTCCTTTCTTTTCCCCCATCCCTTCCATCAGCACCTTTCAACACAGAAAGCATCCTAAGGTAGCCTATGGATGGGATGGGGGTTTGTTGTCATGGCATGTTTTTGCAGTGATAGCTACCATTGAACACTTGTCAGTGGCTAACAGTCATACAAATTAATGCAGCCCTGAAGTAATTCTCATGTAGGCCAGAAACTCCATCAATACCTAGAATTGCAGGAAAGAAGGTAGTATGAAGCTGCTAACTTCACCTGATATGCTGATCACTGCACTGGTGAATCTGAAGATCTCTAAGTAGGGGTGCACCGATATTAGGCCAGCCAATAAAGAGTCAATATTTAAGGAGGCATATTGGCTGATACCAATCTGGTATCCATTACAGCTGCCATCAGGTGGTAAGTCAGGAGTGGTGGGAGGGGAAGGGGTCGGGGTGGGGGGGGTGCAAATAAGTGCTCCCTGCGGTAAGGGAGGGGGCAGG